ATTAAGTATCGACATAATGAAAGACAAATACCAGGATGAGCACACAGGCAAGCAATACGAACTAAACACGAACCCGTACAGTAACTCTGCGTCGAGCGACGCGACCTCTAGGCGTCGGTCGACGCGAAGCGTCTGCGTCGAGCGACGCAACCTCTAGGCGTCGGTCGACGCGACTCGTCTGCGTCGAACGACGCACCACCCTGGCGTCGATCGACGCGACATACACAGAAACGAGCCTATCCTCTCGTGGNTCGAATCCGTCGNGATTTATNGAGTCACCTGCACGATCCCAATCACAGAACACACGAAAACAACAATCAAACGCATTCCATCTATCCCTATGTCCACACAACCCACGATCACGCACTCACCTCGAAGAATCGAAATGAACGAATGAACGACGTTCACAAAAACCTTCGTACACGACGAACCACTGGTCCAATTCCGAAACAGGCGACTGTTCCAGAAACTAGACACACACAGCCACGCGTCGGTATGCAGGTCGCCTCCAGACTCCTTCTGGTTCGATCGAAATTCCCCTCTGAACCCGACTGATCGCATACCACAATCTGCACAAACCCACCGAGTTCAAACAGCCATAACTCGGTGAACAAACAACCAAAAGACGAACCGTTTTTGCCTATGACACGAGCAGAGATTGGAGAACTTACCCTCCAAAAATCAGCCCAATCCGACAAGAAAAGCCCCGCCGTTTTCCCTCTCAAAGATACGATCAGAAGCTGCTCACACCAAGAAAACTCTCAAGACAAACTCTCTCTCAAACCCTTTCTCTTCTGATTTTTTTGATCCAGCCAAAATGGCCAGGAACCCGTTCCAGTCTTTTATATCAAACCCTAGGGTTCTCCCTTAACCAACACGCAAACCGTGCGATCAAACCCGACTTCCCGGTCTAATTAAAGATTTGCGTCGCTCGACGCAAGCCCTCTGCGTCGCTCGACGCACCACCAAAAATACACATTTTTGGTTCGCGGACATTACAAGAGTAAGTATATC